AGAAGAAGTAGAAGATGAAGGTATCGTTTGCTTTCACGCACATATAGTACTCGGGAAAACTAACGGACTTATTTACATGCAAATTTAAGACAAGTACATATACTTTGCTGCACTCTACAAGATTTCTCACATCAGATGAGCACGACACAACGCATGCAATCGCAGTTAGAAGACCTAATGCCCGCTATTTACCCTATGTGTAATTTTTTTTTCACTCCTCTATAGAAAATTTTCTTTATTAGTAACCGCGCGCTACTGGATTATAAATATGAGAGATGAAACACTCGATTATTTTAACAAAATAACAATTTCAAGTTTGAAAAAAATTTAATTCCCCTTTCTATAATTTTTTTTTTTAAAGTGCTTTACACCCCCAGAGAAAAGATATTTATTTCTCTCAGAACCAAATAAATATTTATTTGTTTCAAATAAATTTTGTTTGCGCTAAATAAAATTTTTTTGTGCCAAATAATTTTTTTTTATTTAAAACAAATAAATAGTTATAAGGTTCTGAGACAAATATATTTTTATTTGCTTCAAATAAATTTTATTTGTGTCAAATAAACGCAAATAAAAAATTTCTCTGGGTGTAGAAACAATAACAGGTATGACAAAAATGGATGTACACCATGAGAAAAGATTTCTTTGAATCAAAGAAACCAATTTCTTTAACTTGTTTTCATTCATTCAAAATAAAATTTTCTTTGAATAAAAAAAAAACTTCTTAGTTTCAAAAGAAAATTTCTTTAATTTAAAGGAATTTTCTTTGAATAAAAGAAATTTGTGCATTAAGTGAAAGAAATTCTAACATTGATATAGGGTTAAAGAAACATTTATTTGCATTGAATAAAAAATTTCTTTGAAACGAAATTATTTTTTTTTTGAATTAAAGATAATTTATTTGAAACAAATACATTTTCTTTGTATCAAAGCAAAATTTGTCAAAGGAATTCATTTCTTTGAATCAAAGAAATCTTTTTTTTCTTGGCTGTAAATATTTTAATTTCCCTTATATTCGCCATTATTTATAGGTTAGAAATTCGTTGGAAGAAAAATCATAAAATTTTCTTTTCTTCAAGATATTCTAATAAAAAGTGAAATAATATCTTTTAAATTTTATATAAATTTTAAAGATTAAAATTATTGTATTCCTAAATATAGGTTATTAAATAATATTTGCTATTTTGTATTTTGAGAAAAAATCCTGTTTTTAATTGATTTATTGTCATGAACATAACCTCAAAGGCTTAGGCTAGTTCGAAAGTCAGGAAACAAACGGTTTTTTTTATTGAAAAGTTTTGAGGTTATGTTAATGACAATAAATCAATTAACCTTAACTTTCTTAAAAAGAAAATAATTTTTATTCTTTGTAATTTACATAAAAAAAGATAATATTTCACTTTTTATACAATAACTAGAGAAATGGAAATTTTATGATTTTTATTCCAGCGAATTTCTAACCTATAAATAATATTGAAATATTTTTTTTTGTCACTGCTGTTATTACTTCTTAATATGGAATTCTCAACTGAAAAAAAATGTATTTAATTCAAATAATCGGTTTAATTAATTTAATTTTTCTTTTCGTATAATTAAAAAAGAAAATTTATAATATATTAAAATAAAAGGGCAATTTTGATTATAATTTATTATAAGTATGAAAGTTTCATTTATATTCCTTCAAGTTTTATATTCCTTGGCAAAGAAGTCGATCATTTTAAATTGATCCACATTACTTATACATATGGCTTGGGATAAAATTATAAGCCTCACGGACATTAAAAGATTAAAAATGACAATTTTTTCACAATTTCTTATGAACATCATCTCTTAAATGATTACCAGGAAAATTCAGGAACACCTCCCTCCACCCCACTTTTTCAAACTCTATAATTTTCAGACCATGCTTGAGGGTACAAACAAGATTTAAGAGTTGATTCTCAGTTCTGATTGACTGAATAGCGTTTCAAACAAAACTTAAACTTTCAAGGCTAAATTGAAACTCAGCGCGCAGACCATAATAATACGATACTGTATGTTACAAATATTTCAATGCCAGGAGGTCCAATTCACCAAGAAAGAGAGAGAAAGAGAGAGAGATTGATTCGTCGAAAAGAATTTCATTTGCATTTTTGTCGCCAATTTTTGAATTTTCAAAATTTTTAAAAAAGAAATAAAGAAAAATACTTGAAATAAATAATACTAAAAAAAAATTGAAAATTACATTAAAAAAATCTTCACCTAGAACAGCGATATGTTTCACTAAAACAGGGAAAATTTTCGCTATTCTAGAGAAACATATCGCTGTTCCAGATAAAAATTTTTTTCCATGTTCAATAATACAATATTAATACGAAAATTAATACAAAATATTGAGTATAATAATTTTTCAGAGGAAAAAAATAATATACGAATGGAAATAAAAATTTTTTTCCGATGAGTTAGAATTGATAAGATGATGACATTTTCTGAATGAAAAGCCTCCTTTTGAAAGAGAAAGAGGTATAAAACACTCTCATTGCACCTTAGAAAAGATCTTTAGGATTGATTATATTACTCGCATATATATATATATATAAATGTGACTCGAAGCGAATGAGGTTGAAAAAAAAATTGCCTTCCACCCCTCCCATTTTATTGTTGGATTTTGTTATTGTATACATCGCGTACGCGTGCAATAATTTTTTTTTTTTAATTTTCAATAATTCATGTGACTCAAGCTTTATTGAACTACTTTTACTTACTTTTACCTCACTCTGCGTCCTTCGTCAGAGGAGAATAATTGTTTATCCGCACAGCAAATGTATATAATAACAATAATAATGTCAGACATAACGAAATAAAACTCACTTGCGGATAATAACTTTACCACACAGATACGTTCCATAATAATTTTAGAATAATGACAAAAATCTAGGGATTTATAGAAAACATTTTTCCATTTATGGAATTTTTTTAAAAATAATTATAAATGAAATTGTTTTTTGGAAATTTACTAAATTAAGATTAAAAATTAATTAATTAAAAATACTATTAGTTTAGAATACTAAAAAATAATACTCTCTAAATTTTTACTAATTTAAATTAGTATAGAATTTTTTACTAAATTTTTAGTACAATATTACTATTTTATATAGTATTTTTTTATTGAAGTTTAATACTGAAAAATGACTACAAATTATTAGAATTTTTTTTTCTTTTTTTTTATTTATTTCATTAATTTTCAGTAAAATATTACTATTTAATTTAGTATTTTTTTACTAAAGTTTTTGTGGAATATGACCAAAAAAATAGTAAACATTTATTTATTTATTTTTCTAATTTTTAGTAAAACATGATTTAGTAATATTTTGTTTACTAAATTTTAAGTAAAAAATGACAAAAAATTAGTAGAAATTTCTGTATTTTTTATTTATTTTACTAATTAGTAGTAAAATATTAATATTTGATTTAGTAATACCCTGTATTTTAACTAAAGTTTTAGTGAAAAATGACTAAAAATTAGCAGAATTTTGTTTATTTATTTCACTGAGTTTTAGTAAAATATATTATTATATTATTTGATTTAGTAATTTTTTTACCAAAATTTTAGTGTAAAACAACTAAAAATTAGTAGAAATTTTCACTAATTTTTATGGTAAAATATTACTATTTGATTTTGTACTATATTTGTACTAAACTTTTAATAAAAAATAACTAAAACTTAGTAGAAATTTATACTACTTTTTAGTAGAATATTATTATTGGATTTAGTAATATTTTTTTACTACAGTTTTAGTGAAAAACGACTAAAAATTAGTAGAAATTTTTACTAATTCAAATTAGTTAACGAATTATCACTAATTTAACTAATTAAATCAACTATTAAATAAAATGATAAATACTACAGTGAAAAAAAAAATTTATTTGATTTAAATAATTGGTTATTTGATTATAATCATAGTAGTTAAATAATCGATTATTTGAATCAAATAAATTTTTTTTTTAATGTACAAATATTTTAAAAGACTATTTTTTTCATTGTCATTATTATTGTATTTGTTTATATGTTATTATTTTTATTTATTTTATTATTATTATTATTTGTTTATTAATATTTGTTTACATTTATTAAATTTATTTTATTATTATTTATTTATATTTATTATGTTTCTTTTTTAACTTTGTGATAATTTAATTCGAAATTAATATAAATTTTTAGGAGAATAATTAATATATTAGGGAATTTAATTTCAATCTTATAGTTTAAAGAACGAATGTCGTATAATGTAAATTCGACTAATACACATTATAATTAAGTCGCAATCCTCATATACATTATTCTCTTTTTTTATATATATATATATATATTTTTTTTTTCTATAGCTAATTAATCCCAAGTAAGCGAAAAAAAATTATTTTTCACAAGTCAGCATTATTAATTATAAATTATCGATTTTACCACCAGGAAATGCGTATTGAATTCTTTTTTTTTTTATTTATAATAAAGAATTATTCATAAAGCCCGCGGAATATTGTCGCAATCAAACTTATTACAAAGATATTACCCATACATATATCTAAAAAAATATTTTTTCCAAAGAAAAATTTATTAAATTTCATTAAATTTATTTTTCATTAAATTTTATTAAATTTTATTAAATTTAATATTCATTAAATTTTACTAAATTTAATATTAAATTTTTTTCATTTCGTAATTGCGAAAATTTTTGTAGGCAGAAAAAAATTATTTTACTGTAACATTCCTTTATGAAAAATAAAATGGTATAGTTTTTTTTTTTTTTTTTTTTTTTTTTTTGAGATTCTGAAGCATTCTGCAAGGCTTCTGTGTATACTAATTGTTTAACAAGGATTGTGCGCGATAATTAAGTTTTATTCCTCGGGCAGTGAGGCGGATAGTTTTTCCATAGCGCTATTTTTTTTGCCATTGAAGCTAATAAGAGGCAAATTTTTTTTTTTTTGCATTCGAGGCTAATGTGTGTAAATATATCTTGACTCACCTGTGCTTTCGAGGCAATGTTGTAACGGCAATGTTCAAGGATTCGTTATCCAGATTATCCTTTTTCGATCTCCTCGGAAGTTCATTACACGCTCCTTGCGTGAAACTGTAAGTTCTCCGTTTCTTGAGGCACAACATTTTTTTTTTTTTCACGTGTTTATTGAAAAATTACATTAGCTAAGCTTCATAATAAATTTTTAATTGTATAATAACGCGATGAGGAGATTATTATATATAGTGGATATAATTTCAATTTTATTTCACGGTCATTATCGCACATTATCACTGTTGTTTTTTTTTTTTTTGTTCTTGTGTTCTTACTTCCTTAATATTTTTTCCTTTTTTTTTTTTTATTTATTTGACACAATAGCTTTTTTCACTTTTTAATTCAAAGTTTCGTTGTCTCCGAAAATTTTCCTCGTACGAACATTTCTATATATAAAAAAAAATACAAAATGAGTAAATTTAAAAAAAAAAGTGTAAAATACATCAAATTTGTAAATTTTGAACTATATAAAATTATTTTTTAAATTAATTAAATTTTACAATGTAAAAAAATTAATTATATTGTAATAAGGTAATTAATTTTTTTTTCTCCTGCAAAATTGGTTTTTTATTTATTTATTTATTAAATTGACGAGACAAGCCCTTTTTTAAATTTTTTATAGAAAGGGAAAAAAAAATTGTAAAATATTGTGTAATTATTATTATTTTTCGTTTTAATAGAGACACACTTTTGAACTCCCAATAGAAATACATATCCACACGTTGTTACGAACCGTATAGAAGTTCAACGTCAGCCTCGAGCTGAAGTTATAACAGTACTAAACTGAAGACTGCGCCCAGAATCCTTCGCTGGGCAAGAGCGCATCCGTCAATGGCTTCCGAGTTTCCGACGTGTTTATTACCAACACTGAAACTTCGAAGAAAAAAAAAAAAAGGAAAGAAAAAAAATACACCTCTCGAGATCGTTAATGCCTTCTTTACAAACAAGATTTTTATCAACTTCAATATAATTCCTCTTTTATATAAAAGAACGAACGGACTCTCCTTCAAAACGCGACACAAGATTCATATAACTGTGTTAAAAAAAAAAAAAATTTTTTGAATTGAATTGAAATTGATTACATTTTCCTTGAAATAATTCACATATTATATAAAATATCCGATTGCAATTTTGTAATTATTTTTAATTGTTTTGAAAAATTAACATAAAAGGATGTTGAATATACAGGTGGGGATTTTCTTCTAAATGCTATGCATATTTTAGAAATATTCTATTTAAATTTTTGTTAATTAAATTAATGGGTGATTAATTAAATTTGTTAATTTTAATTAAATTAATAGAGATTAATTAAAATTTTCAGTTTTCATTAAATTAATAGCAATTAATTAAATTTTTCCATTTTAAATAGAATATAAGATAATTACATTAATTTTATTCTTACAATTATTGGAAGAGAATTGTAAAATATATATGCATTATATAATTATTAAAAAAGAATATTTAAATTAATCATTTTTTTTTTCTCATTTTAAGAATATTATATTCTAAAACTTTTTTCTAATTAAAAATCCGTGTATTTTTTTCTTAAATTGAATATTTTTAAACTTTAAATATCTACAAAATATTTTTGAATATTATATGTGAATATTTATAGCGTGCGTCCGTGGTTAGGCAAATTTTTCTATTATTAAGTAATAAATAAAGGTTTCCATTAATAATAATCAGCATCGATAGTGATTAGCGCTGATAAATAATAACTATTAAAATAGTAGTTACCATTAATAATAATAGTTAAAATTAATAATAATTACCATTAAGAGTAGTTTCCATTAAAAATAATTAACTGCCACTATTTATAAACAATAATTATTAAAATAATAATTACCATCAATAGTAGTTATTATTAATAGTAGCTACCATCAATAGTGGTTACTGCTATTCGTAGTTACTATTAATAGTAGCCACTAATGATTAATAATTACTATTAAAACAGTGGTTACTATTAATAGTAGTTCCTATTAATATTACTTACCATTCATAGTAATTATTATTGATAGTAACTACCAATAATAGTAGTTATTAATAGTAACAACCAATGATAATAGTTATTATTAATAGTAGTTACCATTGATAGTAGTTTCCATTAAAAATAATTAATAGCCACTATTTATAAACAATAATTATTAAAATAATAATTACCATCAATAGTAGTTATTATTAATAGTAGTTACCATTAATAGTGGTTACTATTATTCATAGTAACCATTAATAATTAATTACTATTAAAACAGTAGTTAATATTAATAGTAGCCACTATTGATAAATACTAATTATTAAAATAGTAACGATCATAAATAATAGTTACCATTAGTATTAACTACCATTAATATAAGCCATTATTTATAAACAATAACTATTCAAATAATAATTACTATTAATAGTAGTTATTGTTAATAGCAGCTGACAATAACGAATAATATCTAAATAATAATAATTAGTATCGTTACCATTAATATTTTTTATTATTAATAGTAACTATCATTAATAGTGGTTACTGCTATTAGTAGTTACTATTAATAGTAGCCACTAATGATTAATAATAATTACTATAAAAACAGTGGTTTCTATTAATAGTAGTTACTATTAATATTAGTTACCATTAATAGTAATTATTATTGATAGTAATAATAATAGTCACTATTTTAATAATAATTACCATGAATAGCAGATATTATTTATAGCGGCTACCATGGATAAATAATAACTATTAAAATAGTAACAATAATTAATAGTAGTTATTATTAATAGTAGTTACCATTAATAGTAGTTACCATTATTAATAGTTACAATTAATAAATAATTACAATGAAAACAGTAGTTAATATTAATAGTAGCTACCATTAATAGTAGCCACTATTGATAAATAAAAACTATTTAAATACTAACTACCATAAATAGTAGTTACTGTAAATTGCAACTACCGTTAATAATAACCACTATTTATAAACAATAACTATTAACGCAATAATTACGATTAATAGTACTTATTATTCATAGTAGATTTTATTAATAGTAGATACCAATAATAGTAGTTACTATTTACAGTAGTTACTAATGATAGTAGTTACTATTAATAGTAGTTACCATTAAAAGTATTTCGAATAGTTATTAATCGCAATAAATAATATATAGTTGCAATAAATGACAGTTTGTATCAATAATATATTAACAATGAAGTAATAGTTAAAAATTCAGTTATTTTAGGCTAGATTCCACAAATTAATTCAAAATCGATTGTGGAATTAAAGCAAAGTAAAAAACAAAAGAAAAATTGCAAACATTGCATGGAATTCACATAATTCTGAGAAAAACCGAATGGCCATAAGTATTTCACAACTATTAAATTGTTTTAAATTATATATTAAAATTCCAATATATATACATTATAAACTTTTTTTTTAAGAATGCGAAAAAAAATTAATTCATTTTCATTTCTTTTCTATTTATAAATTTTTTATTTGACGTCCCCATTGCAAAACGCCTATATGGAAAATAATATCTAACTTGTTTGGGGAAAAAAAAGATGAATCTTGTCGAATGAACGAGAACGAAGTTAATTACGGTATCAAGAGAGATATGTTTATCCTATCACTAAACAAGTAATTCGTTAAGTACACGTTTCAAGTATATATGAGTTTTTTTTATTATTAAATTATTATATATATATATATATATATATATATATATATATATATATATATATATAAGTGTTCAGATTTCACCTTTTGTATTTTTTTCAAATTTATAATAAACGCTTAAACTAAAAATAAATTAATTGCCTTTAATCACGAGTCCCAATTTTAAATTAATGTTTTTAAATTACCTACGTCTATATATTTATATATAGTGGTTAAAACTAATTTTTTTATATTAATACACTTTTTATTTTTAAATTTATAATTTTGTTTGGTTATTTTTTTAATATAAATAAATTAATTAAATAAATAAAATAAATAAACAAAATAAATAAATAAATTTTTTTTTTGGTTTCAATTAAATTTTGTTATCAAACAACTGTTCCTTAAATGAAATGATTTTATTAAAAAAATACCTTTTAGGTAATTAATAAAAAATTTTCTAATGAAATAAAATAATTTTTCCCCAATTTTGTGGGATTTTTTGTTGAAAATTGGAAATTTTCTTGTTGACATTATGCGTGTATAAAGTAAACTCTCCCGTTTTGATATGATAAAGTTGTATAATATATAAAGTTAAAAGTGCAAATGTAGGTGCAGTTATGTTGCTGTGACCGCTATGATATGATTCCAGTCGAACCACTACACTCTGTTGCCATGCGACTTTATATACATATATATATATATACTTATAAATATATAATATATATTCACCCAAAAAAAAATTTTAAAAAAAAAAAATTTTTTTTTAAACAGGGAAGATGTGCATAATCATAACGTAGAATAATTCCTCGGAGAATTCCCTTGACTTGAACCTCGTTTTTCCAGTTCGTGATAATTTACCTTGGTTATCGCAATTAAATATAATACTTTACTCACTGGGGTTTCTCTTCAGAAAACGAGCTCTGAAAATTACGTTACATGAAATGCTTATTAACTATTAAATGTACCTTTTATCTGAGAATTATGTGAAGGATTAACCACCCTGTATAATATTTAGAATGAAACACTATATACAAATTCACTTTATCGACACGATATTTTGTTAAAAATGTTTTATTTTGTTTTCTAATATAAATAAAATTGGACCATTTTTTTTATTTATTCAAAATTATATTTATTTATCAATTTATTTTTTTTTTTTATTTTAATTTTTTATTTAATTAACTAGAAAAATTAAAGGCGCGCAAGCGCGCCAAATTGAGTATTTAATTGTTTGTTATAAAGAAATTAAAGATTAATATTATCAATAATAATTTAATTTGTTAGAATATTATTACATATTAAATGATAATAATGAAAATTATATGTTTACAGGCCTCGGATTATACGACTTTTTTTCGACTTTTATCGACTTTTTTGAATAAAATACGAGTTTTTTTTACATTTGAAAAAAAATGTAAATAAAATACATTTTTTAGTATAAAATGTAGATCTTATTCAGATCTTCTTCAATTCAATTATTTAACAAATTTTCAACTACAATGATTCTTCACTAAATTAATTATTATTTTTAATAATTTTAATGAAATACATCACAAATTCAATTATATCAAAATTATTTTTCAATTAAAATTTTTATGAAATTTAACAATTGTTTATAAATTAAAAAAAATATCACAATAAAATTGAATTATTTTTTAGAAATTTCAATTCAAAATAAACTAAAATTCAATTATTACCCGAAATTTTAATTCAAAATCAATTAAAAATCCAATAATTATCCAAAATTTTCAATTTAAAATTTAAATATTTACCAAGTTTTCAATTTAAAATGAAATAAAATTCAATTATTTTCTAAAATTTCTATTCAAAATTAATTATCCAAATTTTCAATCAAAAATGAACTTCAATTAAATTATTATCTAAAATTTCAATTAAAATTTAATTATTTCCCAAAATTTTGAATTCAAAATGAATTGAAATTGAATAATTTTCCAAATTTAAAATCAAATAAAATTTAATTATTCTCAAAAATTTGAATTCAAAATTAATTGAATTTTCAATAATTTGAATTTAAAAGCATCTAAAATTTAATTATTACTAAAATTTTCCATTGAAAAATTTTTTTTTGAAATTTAATAATTTCAATTATAACTCTAAGGAAATTCAATTATTTTTAACTATTTTAATAATATTCTTTGAAAATTCAACTATCTGAAACCATTTTTCAATTAAAAATG